TTCTTCCTTCTCCCTTCTCTGTTGGTCAGCCTTCCTCTCTGTCTCTCTCTTAGACGCAGCCATGGCTGCATTGTCCTTTCTTATTTTTTCTTTTAAGAGGTCGCTATTGAACTTTCTGACGCTGGCATTCTGGAAGAACCTCTTATCATTGGCTGCATCAACCGCTCGCTGCCGTAGATTTTTCTTGAAATCCACCTCATCTGCAGGCGTCTCAGACCTATAGTCCTTCTCTGCCTGTTTCCGCATCATTATTCCTTCCCGCCCCTTCAATATGCAGGCTTTGTAGATTGGATGGGCCATTTCAGTTTGTTCTGTGTTGTCGTGTTGTGAAAAATACTGTGTGTAATGCAAGCTGTGTTGTGTCTCAAAGAACTGCTGAACTCAAGACTATAAGAATTTGGCAACTTCAAAGCCATTAATGACATCATCGCAGATGAGAGGCAGATAGTGACCTCATCACATTCCGTGTGACATCACTTGACTTTGTTCTACTATTAAGTCATTCAAATAATTGCATTCCAAGTTGCCTACTTACAGTTGCTAGGCAACCAACGCTATTTCATTGACACCTGAGTCTAAACTAATGTATTCCAATTCAAAGTTCAGGTATATTAATTAGAAGTAAGAAATAGCATAAATATTAGTAAGTAAGTTCCCTAATAATGTTAAGTATTTCAGTATTATGATCTGTAATCATAATACTATGAATTCTCGTTACCCTTTTTTTTTTTTTGGGGGGGCGGGGGGGGGTTGGTTTATGTATTTGGGATTCACCTTGAACTTTCCTCATGTAAGAGTTTGCAGGTTTTTCCTGTGTCAATGCGGGTTTCCGACCACAACTTGCACTAGTTGAGAATAAATGGCAGAATAAAACTGCAATTGTTTTAGTAACAGGTCAAATGTAAGATAACCACAAGAGGGCTCCATATTCTTTATAAAACATTTTCTAATTACTGTACAGTATGACACAGACAAAGGTGAATACTCTCTGAATAATCAACACAATGTACAGAGCAGTGTTTAGGAGACAATCATTTAAATACACCATCTAAATTGTTGATGCAGGGAGTAAAGAATGTGGCTAAACTTGGCCAGTAGCATCTAAGAAAATATAATGTTAGCCATATTAACTATATGTGTAGGATCCACAGTATGTTATTATAATTTGAGATGTTATGAAGTAAGGATCTAACAACCTAAAATGAAGTACAGGACATTGATTAGACAAGAAGGACTTCAAAGATGGAGAGAGATCTTCAGCAGCCTTCCTGTACTGCCCTCTGGTGGCATTATTAACAATTCTTCAAAAATATTTATGCAAGAAAGTATTCAAAGAACCGCTCTCAAAATGCACAGGGAAGTATGAGACCTATAATAGTGCATAGGTTTGTGTACATTTGACAAATCTGCTATACTTAAACTGCAAAACCTAGCACATGGTCAAGATTACAAACCTAAGAGTTGTTTTTATTTTCTTTGCAACAGCAGTAGTAACACTGCTAGTGCAAGATAGCCCCTTGGAGAATAAGCTACATGGGGACATATTGAGATGTTTATCAAATTCTCATCATGTAAATTGTAAATGGTGACTCAACTAACAGTAAAATATTCATAAACTTGATTTAGTATACTCTCTTTTCATACCTTAACCCCTTTCCCTTCAGAGTTTCTTTGTGTTATAGCTGTTGAAGAAAAAAAGCTGGCATGAAGAACTTAATTTCCTCTGTGTTCCTGTGTGTGTCCTCTATGTGGTTGCATTTGTGTGTAACTTGCATATCTGTGTGTGTTCATTGTATTCATGTAGCTGTTCATGTGCATTGTACACTGTTTGTCCCTTTTCTGTATATGGTGCCTCATATGTCTGTCTGTATATTATTTGACACTAATTATTATTTAGCCTGCATGTCGGTGTTGAGCGTGGGCATTCGTGTTTGTGAGTCTGGCAGGCAGCATTGTTCCCAGCAGTGGTGAAGGACACATCTCCATGGCCTGTGTACCATTCCTCTGCATGCTGCTATAAATAGCTTACAATGTTTTTGCAGTGTGTGTATACGTGTGTTTAGGTCTGTGTTTATTACTTTCACTTTCAGAGATGTTTGCCAAGGGAAGGTGAAAGAGAGACCATTGTTATAGAAGAAATGAGGAAGGTACACACACACATTTTACTTTAAAAAAAGACCACCACCACCACCACCACCACCACAACACCATCTTGATACTTTTATCTAAAAATGTTGCAGTGCTATCAAAGCTGCACCCATATATCGAGTAGTCGATTTAAAGAAAATTAATCCAAAATAATTTTTGACAAGTGATTAATGTTTAAGTAATTTTGATGGCAAAGAAGCCAGACGTGATGGTTTCAGGTTGTCAAATGACTTCTTTGACATTTACCTATGTTATGATTTAAAATGTTCAGTTTTGTGCACTGTTGATCGGACAAAACAATCCATTTAATGTCTCATTATAGTGTTGGAATAGGCTTTTTTCCTGTTTTATATAGGAAACTATTACTTGACAATGATTGAGAAGAAAATTGGCTTATTGCTGCCCTATAGTATTCATGCAGAGACTAGAATTATTATCCATAAATCACCATGCACTGGAGTAGGCCTGAAATGTATAGGAAAATACTCAGTATAGTAAGAGAGCTTTAATTAAGTAGCTACAGCAGGCTTTCTTGAGTAAATAGAGCCTACATGAAAACATTCCACGACTGAGTAAATGTTTTCCCGGTTACTTTCTGTGTTGTATTCGTATATTGTAATCACCGTCATCTTTTCCTCATTGACTTTATCCACAGTTGTGAAACAGCGCCCCCATTAATAGCAACTTGTGGAAATGGGAACCAGCGTGTGTGGTTAAACACGGTATTGCAGCCTTGCAGTTGAGGCATTCATCCCAAGCCTACCGAAGATGAGCCAGGTGAAGTCAATGTCCTTTGATTAGTATTCGACAATAAGTTATCTTAGTATAACAAAAACTGGGAAATGTAAAACTTCGGCACCATGAAGGAAAGGATAACAACCTTCTTCGTCTTCAGATAGCATGAGTAACATTTAAAAATATATATATTTTTGCCTTTCTGATGTTTAAATTGACTTTTTGACTTCAAATAAATACAGCTTTGTATTACAGTGGACAATATGGACACACCTCTTCTTATGAGTCTAGCCATGTAAACCAATGGTAACTAAACTGGAAAAGTAAGCAAACTCTTTTTTTTGTGGATGTTAGTCAACCTTCCTTGCAACTGTCACCCAGAATATCCCTGTATTATAAGGTTGTTAATGCATTGCATACTTTTGCGTAATACTATTATTTTTTTTTCTAATGTTATTATTTTGAAGCTCTCTGAGTGTTATTAAATATCAATATTTTTTCAGCAATTTACTATTTCGATTATAATTAGTTTAAATCTATAACATATATTGGTCAATGATGCTGACAAGTCTAGTGATTCTAGTCAGTGTCTTGATTAGAATGGAGGACACTGGTCTCTGCTGCATGATTTAAAGATATTTTCTAATTTTAGGGTCATCAGTGAGCCGAAATCTGAAATATCTGTCCTAAAGACGTTCAACATTCCTGAGTGAATGACATTCTTTAGTTACCAGTACCTCATTGGTCATGTGCGCGTTCGTGTGTGTTGGAGGAGGGGCTCTATAAGGAAGTGGCAGATTTTCTCCGGTTGTGCATTTTCAAATTCTAGCGATCTCGAGTCGGTTTCTCAAACTTACCTACCCCACCTTTAAAGAATCAATTATATTTACAATGAGTTGAAAAACCAAATATTGTTACTTACTTTTTACAATGGCGTTGCATATATTTTTGATTATGGCTGGATTATGGCTTGCCTCTTAATCTAATGTTAACCTAGTTTGCATTTAGCCTTTTGCACTGTCCCTTTGCTGTAACAATACATATTCCTGATGAGGGACAAATAGGTATTCTGATTCTGAAACGGGTCTAGGGTTAGGAAAAAGAGGCAACATAAGGTTCACACTCTAGAAAAGTTCAACGCTGATGGCAACTTTTGTCCCTCAGAGGACACATTTACATTGTTAAAGATAGTTTTAAATATGAATATATCACCTGAGAGGGAATAGATATGAACTCTGAGGCTGATGAGGGAATGAGATGCAGGTGTATAGTGTAGGGGAGGGGCAATCAGGTGGTGGGGAAGAGAGGGGGCATCTGCGGAAGGGTGTGAAATGGCAATGAAAGGGCCTGGGAACAAAAGATTGTGGCAACACAACACTGCCCTCTTGTGGTCCTTTAGTATACAAATATACATTTAAACCTGAATAAACATGGCAGAAATGTAATCTGCTATTTAGGATTTGGATTGTTCCTTAAGTATGCATAAGTCTTTAGTATGCTTGATTTAAGCTAATATAGTTAACATATACAGTACATATTTCAAGTGTTAAAGACAGATGCAACTTTTTTATTATTATTTATAAAAGTGATTTATTAATTTATTAATATAACATTTGATTTTGGTTGTGCAAATTCCCATTGATGATACATCTGCTTATTAATTTCTTAACATTAGCATGGCTGATGTGAGTGGCACCTGCTTTCTTAAATGCCTCAGAGGCACGTGTACTTAAATCACACTTTTCAGTGTGTTTAGCTTTTATTTTTTTCCACAAAAAGCACAGCTGAATTTTGCGGCTCAGTCTGTATGAAACATTTACATTTGAGATATGAGATAATTTATTTCCAATCATATTTATACACTTCAAATGTATCACTTTTAAAGACTAAGGAGAAAACAATCATAAAGTATTACAAAAATAAACATATGTTACCATTCAGTGCCTCTGCCACACACATCAATGCTCTTTGTGGGCATCAAACGTGTACATGCGTATACTTTGATATGCTAACCTCTACAATGTAGCGACACAGATGAATCATTGCTTTGCTCACTCTTGTGTAACCCTTTCAATCCTGTTGTAGGCTACACTTCTTCTTTTCCATCAGTGCGCACATGTCGCAAACACCCCCTGAACGGTTGTTCTCCATTTTTAAAGACAGCAGGGAGCAGATAAGTATACATTTCACCAAAAAGTAGAAGCTTAAGGGGATGTGGAAGAAAAAGGAGGGCTTGCACGATGCTCATGTTCCACAATATTTAGAAAGCCACACCTCAGCTTCCTTTAAAAGGGGCTGGGTTGTTGGTTTTAAAGCACTTCAAGCTCATGATAATTGTCATACCATGCAGCGGCAACCAAAGATGGTATCAGTGCTGACTGAGGACGGAGGACAGGCCGCTCATCTCTGGATCAGGTTAGTGTTGTATTAATAAATTGTGTTTTATGGCATGCCCTTTGCACCTTGTGCAAAAGCCACTGAGGCAAAGTGCCACTGCCAACATCAATCTTTCACCACATCCTGTTCACAGTTTGTCTTAAAACGTAATGGAGAGTAACTTAAAAGGAATTATATCATTCATATTTAAAGGCTTTGTCTTAATCTCTCACCTTCGCTGGAAAATGTTCTGGTCATGATATTCTACTTTTCCGTTACAAAACACCTTTAACGTTTATTCTTTAAAGTAAAGATTTCGGCTTCAAAAGAAAATAATGAAATAACTGGGCAGTTTGTGTTTATATCAAATGATGTAGATATACGTATATATATTCTTGATATGGTTTAAGCTGCGGTGCTTCTGTTGTGCCAATGTATGGTTGTTTCCCTTATTTTATGATGCAGCCAGGATGCTCTTAAAATGTGTTTTGTATTGAGATAGTGTGAGAGGTATGTGATGAAAGCTTTGTTTAGAGGTATTATTTAATTCCACAGGTTGAAATTATACGAGTATTCATTAGTTCCTCGTGTGCACACTGTTCAGTTAATGGTCTTTTTCCTTTTCATAATGTTCTTTCCAAAGAGGAAACTACAGCAGTGAGGCTAGCATCCTAAATAAGAGAGATCATTTTAGGACTGGATAACTGGAGTATGATTCAATAACTGCAAATTAATCAAATAAATCATCAATCTAAATGTTTTCCACTTTGAATATGTATTGAATTATTTTCTATCCCTCCTAAGACATTAAAGAAAGTATTGACAAACGATTAAATGTGTGTCTTTAAGTGGTGACTGACTGGGAGATGATATCAATGGATAAATGTTAATTTAGTTTCGACTAGAGCACTTATAACTCTTTCAAATATTTTCACTTTTTGTCCATATAGAGAAAAGGAAGCATATACTCCCGTTCCTCTTGATTGAGCAGAAAGCTGTCATGGTGTCTGGTTTGAGAGGGAGGTCGTGATTCTTCCTCATACAGGGAGTCACAGCTGAGGACCTGATGGTAAGTCCTCGTTGCAAATCTCATCAGAGGATTACATCACAGACACTCAAACAAAACCTGCATGCTAAAAAAGTGATTTTCATCATTTAGAAACTTTGAGGAATCAATTTGGTTTTCACTTTACATTGTCATGACTGCCACACATGAGGAATTCCCCTTTGAGGTGGTGGCTTATATGTCCTGTTAATGTGTGTCACCTATTCTGCTCTCTAAGGGTCTTCAGTGGTTACATGGTGTACATTTGGAAGGAAGTAGTTAATACAATATGTTTTTCCTGATTAGGCTTAAGCATACTTTTTTTTTGCTTGGGAGGACTCTTACTCTCTTCTGTTATTGAGCTACATGGTGCAATTTAATCAAATTAATCTTATTTAGTCACATTATATTATTTTCAGTCTATTCAGTAAAACATTTGAGTCTTTGTATTCTTGGTATGTTAAATATCTTAAATGCTAAATTGGTCATTGGTTTCCACATACCTGTGCAAAAATAGAAATCAATTAGCACATTTAAAAGAATTATGAGGAAATTCACAGATTGATTTGAAATGATTTGCTGCATTACCTCAGCAATGATTTGTATGTATTATGGAAATGAATCAGAAGGAAAGGTACATCAACATTGCTCAACAGAGCAGCACACTTTACAAAAAATGGTTAGTTGTGATGTTAAGTATATGATTTGTAATGATTAGATTTAAACCTGCAAAAATAACAAGTACGCGAAAAAACCACGGTTCTCCTTTACAATCCTACTTAATTTCCTTTGCAACAGGGGCGTTACAACACTAAGAGGACTGGGCTCGGCTCAATGAAGAAGCGCCTCCTCCTCCTCTCCTTTCTCTGTGTTTTACCGCTGTGTCTTCTCAATGGATGGTGGAGAAGATTTCCGGCCCAGACAGCTATAAATCCTTCCAGCTTCCGTAACATCACGATCCTGCTGTGGCATTGGCCCTACGGCAGGTCGTCGTCCCTGAAGGGGGACACGTGCTGGGATCTCTACCGTATCCCTCGCTGTAGACTGGTGGACCAGCGCTCCTTGTTCCCCTCCGCTGATGTGGTGGTGTTCCACAACAGAGAGCTGGCACTGGGCCGCCAAAAGCTGCCCCTTGACCTTCCACGGCCACAGGGCCAGAGGTGGGCCTGGATGTCCCTGGAAGCCCCTCTTCACAATGGAAAGTCGCATCAGTATGCAAATATATTCAACATGACCATCAGCTATAGGAGAGATGCTGATGTCACTGTTCCATACGGCCAGCTGCTACCAAAGGAGGCTGAAGGACATCTGGTGGACAATGTCCCTCTCAATAAGAGCTCCTTGGCCTGTTGGGTGGTCAGCAACTACAGAAAGCACCACAAGAGAAGCAAAGTGTACCAAGAGCTAAAGGCAGTAGTTCCTGTGAAGGTTTACGGACGTTGGACTAAGACACCTCTTTCCCAAAATGCCCTCTTATCTACAATCTCTCGCTGCTTCTTCTACTTGGCTTTTGAGAACTCAATCAGCAAAGATTACATCACAGAAAAACTGTGGAGGAATGCTTACCAAGGTGGCGCGGTGCCTGTCGTCCTGGGACCCCTGTTAGGCGACTACAAATCTGTGGCTCCACCTAATTCTTTTATCCATGTCGATGAGTTTGCATCAGTCAAGGATTTAGGAGAGTATCTACAACAGCTTGCAGAGGACAAGAAACGCTACAGTGAATATTTCACTTGGAAACATCAGTGGACAGTAAAGTTGTACAAAGACTGGAGGGAGAGACTGTGTAAGATCTGCTCACATTACAACAGCTTACCTCAGGAGAAAGTTTACTCCAATCTAGAGGCCTGGGTCAATGGCTCATAACACTTGAGCTTGCATATACATAGTTAATGTGTAATTTATCACATTTTTGGAGGATTAGCATCCTTGAGATTTCAGGAAAATCCTTTTTTAAAGGCACTTTGGAAACATGCTTATTCACTGTGAGCACCTACCCAACACAACTTACATTAACTATTTCATACTAAGAATGACCAAGTTCAAACACCTGACCTCCCTGGAGTAAAATGGATTTAAGTTTTTTGGAGCCGTGTTGTTTAGCATTTCTCCTCTTTAAAACTCATGTACTACAGTACAAGCAAAAAGGTTACTGTAAAGAACACTGACGCACTTCAATGTAATTTACAAACAAAAGCATTATGGTTTATGTCTGGTGGACACACTGTTAAGGGCTTTAAAACACACTCAACAATTAAACTAGTGTGGATAAAGTCTGCATTTGTTTTCATGTAAAATAGTTACATATTGTACTCAAACAGAAACATGTGAACCATTTGATCTCAATTCAAGTCAAATTAGCTTGAGTGTGCTCTATTCTACTGAAGCTTGGAATCTTCATGAACTACATTGTAAATATTTGAGTAGGGCTGCATTATTCAAAAGGCTAGCCCGTTGTTGAAGTATTTGGGCTTGGAGATGTCCGATACTTTCTTTTAAAATTTTTGTCTGTTGTATGGTTTCATGTCCAACTTCCCTTTCCAAATTAAAAGATGGTTTACTTAATGAATACATTGTGAATGAGTCTCATTGCAGGACACTCCCTGAATTACAAAGCTCAGCTTCCTCAAACTGATGCAAAACAAGAGGTTTTACCGCAAAAATACCTCTCGTTTAAAATATATATAAATCAGTACTGGACATATTCAACAAGTCAGTTTTACTAGATTTGATGCATTTAAGGTTGAGGTCGTTTGGGTTGAAAACATTTTAGCATAGCTACCAAGTCAATAAATTATATTTTAATCCATTAACAATCTGTTGAGGAAACGTTGCAAAAAATCCCAGTAAGCGTGTAGCAAGTTTGATTTCACGTTGGTAATATCAAAGTAAAAATCAATCCCGAGGCAATAATCCACACTTAGATCATTCTGGGTTGAACAGATTGGTGACATTTAATGTCTTCATGTATGCAAATTACAGTCTTTAGAGTAAAAAATATTTTCTTAAAACAATACCAGACAAAAACACCAATTAGCATCCAAATGTAACTTTTGGTATAAATTGTAATTCAACATTTCATTAACATAAAAATCATTTACAATAATAAAAAAAAAAGTTTGACGTATTGAAATACACTATAAAAGCAAAATTAATCACTTCAATTCACCTGAGATGAGAAAATATGGAAATTGTGCAATTGGCAGATAAGCAGCAATGAAACTTGAGAATAGCTAATCATTTATCAAGTTCCTTCAAAACATTACTATGAGTCTCACAGCCTCAGTCATAAGGCCAGAATCTATTGGTATACAAATGGGGAAATATTTTTTTTTTAAAGGGATATATTAAACATTACAAAAGCATCTTTGTGCAAAAATTATGGAAAATTCCATTTCAATGACTGCTCTATTCAGAAGTATTGCACAAATATTGACCAGAAAGACTGATTTTCGGTCCAAATCTCCCTTTTATAACTCAGATCTAAACTCATTCGCACCACAGAAAACCACCCAGGACATATATCACCGTTGTGTTTTAGCATCAGATCTTTTACCATTATTCTTAAAAGGCAATGATAAAAGCCTATGGAATAACTTGCAATGCATTATCCAAGAACACGAAAACAATCAAAAGGCACATTCAGTTCAAATGTCTTAGTTTTAACTCAAAGCAGTTGCAGGAACTACGGTCTGCCATTAAAAACAGTAATATGGATATACTTTGAACCATCTCAAAGTTGGAAGAGCCTCTAAACTAGGAGTGTTTTTATCCCAAGACCTGCCAATGCGTTTGGTTGATTGGGTTACCGTTTACGAGACTTCTTCTTGGACAGAGAGGCTTGGGTGGGCAATCTATGGTTATGTCTGGGACTACATGAACACTTTTATCCAGTCAGGTGACTAACCAGTCCGTGGTGCAGGCCCTGTTTCAAGATGTCGGGCCGGTGCAGCTGGGGCATGTAAAGTGTGGGAGGAGGGGCGCCTCCTAGCTGGTAGCTGGAAAGGGGGTAGCCCTGGCCTGGAATGGGGGAGTGGGCCATGTTCAGTGGGGAAGGACTCTGCTCGTAGTACTGGCCATCACACTCTTCATCTAGTGGCACGGCCAGGCGCTTTCCTTTCTGTCTTCGGTTGCAGAACCACACGCGTACGACCTGACAGGAAACAAGTGTCTTTCAAAAATGTGAACCAGCTTTATAAAAAATAAATAAATAAACACGCTTCTATCAAAATAAAAAGGCAATTGGCATAACTTTCACAGCTGTACTTACATCTCTCTCCAGACCCAGGTCGTCTGAGATGTGAGTGATCTCCTGGGTGTTTGGCTTCGGACACTTGACAAAGTAGGTCTCAAGAGCAGACCGCACTGCTCCCTCCAGACTGGTCCTCCTCTTCCTCTTTCTGGTGTCAACAAATACTCGCTCAATCTTGTACATCTGAAGAATCAAAGCATGCTAGTAAGGGTTGATGCAGTAATGAATACAACCAAATTAAGATTTGTAAGCTCCATGTTCTCAAAAGATGGCTCCCCCACTTGGTGCACATCATAGAGGTTTTATGGCCACTAGGTGGCATTTTACACTTCCCAAGAGTAGAGGGCCTTGATTCAGGTTAACTCAGCAGGAAGTTAGCAAGGCCTGAAAAGACCAAGGATCCCATGAAGCTTAGAGATCTTCTGTTGTCTTGTAAACTAGTCGGCAGATGTCAAAGTATAGCACTTACATCCTGGGGATTGTCTGAGGTCTCTGCCTCATTCAGCCATCTCTGAAGAAGGGGCTTCAGCTTGCACATGTTCTTGAAGCTCAGCTGCAGAGCCTCAAAGCGGCAAATGGTCGTCTGGCTGAACATCTTACCTACATGTACAAAAAATAACATTAGAGCACAAGTTGAAAAAAGGGTCATGGCCCAAAACTTGAAAGACAAAACTTGACAAAATGGAGATTCAGCTATGTAAAAGTCTCAATCCTTCTCAGGATAGTAGGCTATACACAGTCAACTTGTATACACAGCATTGACCAATCTCTTTTTAGTGATTTATATATACAGAATATAATAAGTGTGAATCTCCATAACATTCAAATGCAGACAGTGGGCCCAACTAGGCTGACATAGACTTTGTTCTTGGATTGACCATAATGACACAAAATTAAGACAACTTTAAACAGTGGTTAATTATCTCTTTATGGTTGCCATACTTACCATAAAGGTTTCCTAGGGCAAGACCGACATCAGCTTGGGTAAAACCCAATGTTATGCGCTTGTGTTTCAGCTCCTTTGCAAACTGCTCTAGTTCTTCTGTTGAAAGATTCTCCTGAAGAAAACAATAAATTACATTAATACCCAATGTGATCCACAAGTAAACTGTATTTATAAAATAGATTCAGTCCATATTCAGTTAATGCTTTTACCTCCTCAGAGTCGCTGCATCCACCGCTGGAGGACCCACTGCTCCTAGTTGAAGAGGCCGGGTTCTGAGTCTGCGGCCCGGGGGAGGCCTGGGTTGTGTTCACGCTGAAAAACGAGTTTCCCGGAAGCCCGTTGCTTGGGGGTGAGGGGGACATGGAGGGTGAAGATGCCGAGGATGTCGAGGGATTTTGATTATTGCTGGCGGGCGGTGTGATGTGGTTGATGCCGGGCCAGAAGGAGGGGTTCCAGGTCGGGTAGAAAACTCCATGGGACATGGCAGCAGAGGCTGCTGATGGGTACTGCTGAATCTTAACCTCCGTGGAGTATTCATCGCCGGTGTCCTTCTCAGTCTTTATTGCGGAAAGTTTAATCTGCTCCCGTGTCTCGGCAATGGGGGGACTCAGGTTTAAAGGCTGGGTAGCTGCTGTTGCCCCGGGTACCTGGCCGGTGTACTCGGGAGCAGCGAAGGGATACCAATGCTTGGTTTGCCCAAAATCTCCGGCCTGCAGGTCGGATCCCCTGTAGTCCCCATTGACGGATGGGAAAGGGAAAAAGTTCTGCGCAGATGCCGATGTGATGCCACTGTAGGCGGACTTGTTGTAGAGGAGACTCGGGTCTGTCAGGAGACCGTGGGGAAGCTGGAACGGACCACCGCTGCCCAAACCTTCATGACCCAGCAGCTGGCCGCAATGGTTGGCCCGGCTGAAGTCATACGGACGGATTTGGCTTTCCGGACTATGCGATCTTTCAGACATCTTCCAAACACCGTAAAAAGTATATAAAAGCGAACGTCCAAAATGTAAACTTAGAATAAGTCAGTGGCGACTGATTCTAAACCACCCGCTTCACGTATACGCACACACCAATGAAGGATGAGGTAGGAAAAGCACTCCAGGGAAAAAAAACGTCTGTGAAAAGTCCGTTTCTGGAGATATTGTCCGAAAAGTGTAGGTCTGGGCAGTTGCCGTTTTGGTGCTACATAACCACCAATACGCCTACGGCCGACTCCACCAAGTTGTTTTTAACACTACTGCACTTAACTCACCTTCAAGCTCAAATGCCCCTCTCTCCTTCCCCTGCTCCACAGGTTTTCCTAATCACAGCTGCGGGTGTTGGGGGGTCACATCATCTCTTCACCCATTGGCTGGAGTAGACAATTGGCCACAGCTGATGGTGAATTTGCGAATGACCTTGATTCGCCCTAAAGTAGTGGGCGTGTTTTCAAATAAACATCCAGCCCTTTGGGCTGCAGACTTACAATGTTTTTCTGTTTCTTAGCAAATGCAAAACTAATTACGTGCAATTTAAAACCATTACATAAAAAAATATTAATAATTCAACAGTTTTAATCAGAATATTAACATTGCTAAGGCACGGGTCAGTGTTCCTTTAAATACATATTGTAACACTATAATTTGCTCACCTCATACATGAATTATAAAGCTCAGTTTGTTTAACTTATTCCCCTTTAAGGAGATGGCTTTGATATTAAAATCCCTGTCATTCAGACCTGCATTTATTTTAATCACTAACATCTAAACTAAACGTTTTATCAGCTCATACAAATAAACTGGAGGAAAAACAATGTATGACAATGCACTGGAAATGACTTCAACGTTCTTTAATAGAAATAACGAGATAAGCAGGGTGACATGTACACCCATGAAAGTGTTGTTGTGAAGCTTGATTTCGGAGAAGTGGGTCAGAAGAACATGATGGCATGATGACGACTCAATCTTTTAACCAGCTGAGTTTCTGGGTGTTAAATCTTCTTACTTTGTTGATGCTACTGGAAACAGGAATAACACTATTTTTTACATAAAGCTGATTTATTTTTGCACTTTTAAAAAAGGAAAACACGATTTCTGTCAGATGAATATTTATTTTAAGTTAGAGTCCAACGTGGATGATACTGTGACATTGTGGCTACTCTTTATTGCTATTCTTTCCATTGCCAAACTATAAATGGTGGAATACTAGTGACTGAATCGTAAAACCACCGACAGCATTCAGGTGAACTTCTCCCATTAACCCTTGATCGATGGTCGTTCAGAGAGCCTGTATGGCCGGAGCACTACAGATGCGCACCCCCAGCGCGAGTCGTTGGCCGCAGATTGCGGCAGGAAGACACACTGCGGGGAGGGAGAGGGGGGGCCATTGTACGAGCTGGCCCCGGGGCACCCTGTGGATTTCAGATCCCGAGTTGCGATGGTCGACCATTAGCTCCTTTTCAGATTCGAACAATAAGTCTCAACCCTTTGATTCCGCCCCACACCCACCACCTCCCCCGCCTGTCTTCTGAAACAAACACCAGGCTGAAGTTTCGCCCTGGTCTGCAGGTCCGGGGTTCACTGTGGTGGGCCAATACTATGGCACCCAGTCTGATATATAGCCTAAAGGTCCAAAACTGCTAGGAGGCAGGTGCAATATCCAATCTCTGTTTGAATATCTCTTACTCCTTTTGAGATGAAAGGCCATTATATTCATCATGGAAGCATGTAGATAGAAAATGTGCTTAATGTTTTTGCCTTGTGGCCCCTTAAAAATAAGTGATACCTCACTGGTAGACAGTTTGATTAAAACAATGATGTTAGTTTTGCTGATTGGGCTGTTTAATTGTTTATCAAAGGTAGTTTAGAGAAACTATTTCACAGGAAGATGAGGAACAGACAAGTACAAAATCATTAGTTAAGAGATACAAGTGTTATTAATAGTGTATATGGTAAGACTGAAAAGAAAGCCTTTTCAAAGGGAATAAAGGTCAGCTCAAAAACAAGAGTGAGTCAATTGAAATCAGCAAAAGCTCTGATAAAAGAAACTTTAAAGAATGGATTTAGAGAATACAGAATATAATCAATATGTCTTTTTTTCTGACACTATAACCAAGAGATTAGCACTCTCTGTAGGCCCGTGATCGGGGAGCTGTAAGAGCCTGGTCAATAGCTTAAAAGACATCAAACCCCAACGATACAAGCATTGTCCTGGGCCATGGACTTGGGAGTATAATTGTCATGCAAAAGACAGACAGCAAGAGAGATAGTAGACTTCAGGCAATGCGAGAGAGAAAGGGACAGCAGAGCACAGAGCTCTCAGGGTGTCCAAAGGAGGGAGGGGAGGGGGGTCTCAGTGTTGAATAGCTCAGTACAGTGAGGAGGAGATGTGTGAGGGGAGTATCTGGGGATTGAGTTGAAAACCCCCCAGATGTCTCAGATCTTGCCTTTAGTTCTTTTAAGTGGCCTCTTCAAGACACCTCAGAGAGATGTGTTTGCGGTCCAGGTCCCGTCACACAGAGGCAGAGAGAACGTTACACTTAAAAGAAGGCCTGTTGATGCAGCAGTAGAAGCACCAGTGTGAATATGTTGGACACCTAGTCACACCAGTAGATACAAACATATCTTGAGTGATGAAAAAAGTATCACATTATAGCCTATATTGCTCATTTAAATTAGTGTCCTCTTCATTTTAACTTCTTCGAAACATCACTGCAGGCAGCGTTCAAAGAAAAGGCCTCTACTGGGCGTGTGTGTGATATTTAACTCAGAGGTGCTGCTGCCCTTTAATGCACGACCGCTCATGCTAAAAGAAGCAAATTGAATGTGAGATCTGAACTGTGGTCCACTTTTTCTAAAGATCTTGCTGTGGCCGGGACATTTCGTATTTGTATGACACAAACCCTCATCTTCATTCAGGATGTACTTCTAATTTTGCCCCGTTGTCGATGTGTGTTTCATTCAGCAGGTTGCTAAATAAAAAATGTCGAGTAATTTAGTTTTGCCAATACAAATACTATCTTCTTCTGGAAAAGACAAGTTTTCTTAATAACACAAATCTACATCCAGATTTTTGGCTCTATTGTAACTGTTGCATTAAGATACATTTGTGAATCAATATAAATCACTACTTTTGAAATCATCTGTTAAATTAAAGTTATAATCCTGGGTTTTTTCCTAAATACTGCCCATCAAGCAGCACAAACTTCTCCCACAAACAAGTCTGATGGCTTTTTGATTTTCTTCCCAAACGGCCCTGCCTTTGATACCGACATTCACAGACATTACACCCACCCAGGTTTTTATCCGAGGGCCAATGGCTGCCTTCCTTCCACTGTCCTCAGCACAAAGGGCTTTTAATGGCCCCTTGGCATGTGGCTCAATAGGGACAGGAGACTGACCCATCCCCTCCCCGACTCACGGACATGCAACCACAAACACAAAAGCTACATGGAGGTCACTTTCTGGGTGTAGTCGTTTGTGTCCTGAAAGTAAAACACGGTTAAACAGGATAACCTAAAATAGAGACAGTAAGTCAGAGACAGTCTGAGGCAGAGGTGACACCAACTGTGTCTCTGCGTGGTGACAGGTGTAAGTGGCAGCAGAGTTGATCAGAACAGGAAATGCTAATCCAGTGCATTGTGACTATATGATTCAGCGAGACTAAATATATATTTATGCCTCTTACTTCCCTTATTCTGACAAGAAAAAGAAGAGGGGGGGGGGGGACCACAGACTTGCTCAATAAAGTGGCATTGATCATATTTCTAGTTAAATTGCAAAAATTGCTCAAAGAGGAGACCTCACTCTTTTAACCCTATGACCTTTTTTTACCGTCTTTATTTTCCACATTGGAGAAATCATCCCACACTGAGAGCATCTCAGGAGGAATTTATAATAAAGTTTTGTGGATTTATACAATATTTTGCTTCGCAGAATTAGGTTTTTGTTGATTTTCCTTAAAGACAAAAACAGATTCTATTATTTTTTATCTTGGTTTCAATAATTGGTTAGGCTTTAATGTGCCACCTGCACAGACTGAGACTGAACAAATATGATTTTATTACGGCCATTAGTCTAGGAAAGAACAGCAGGCTAGACTAAATCTAATCTCCCTTATCTATTTTAATAGCTAGATTTTGTCCAAAATGTGTAACTTTGTTGCATCTCTCCCTAATTTCCTGTCATTTAGCCACTAGCATCAATAAAGCCATTACATTTAAAATGTCTATATACGTTTCAAAAATCTTATTAAGTGTATGTCATGAAAACCACAACATGAAACAAAGTTATTTTCACATGTGGTAAAAACTTTTAATTCCAATCCTTTGTCTGCATGTACAAATATCTATAAAAAGTGAACACATTCACTCGTTTTTGTATATTTTGCAGCACAGAGTAAACTTGGGACCGACAAGAGGACAGAGAGGAAAGAGGGACGATACAAGATAGTGATATTTACCACCTACACATCCATCAGTATAGTCCGTCACCAACATTTCATTCAAGTGCTCATAAATCACTTTTAGTGTACATTCCTCCTCCAGCTACAGGATGCATACATACGGGAGGGCCCAATAACTTTTCAAAGCATTGCCATGATTCAAACACGGTACAGTCAAACCATGCGACAGACATCATCAAGTACTTCATTTTCATATATATATATTTTTCTATAATCTTAAAATATTTATGCGTAGCTTATAAGACAAGGAATAAAATGAGCAACACCAACGTTAACATTTTTAATGCTCAACCTTGTGTTGCATTTGGGAGTTTTTACAGGAGGTATCACACAGATCTGATTTGAAACTTTGTATCTGTTGGGAATGTGGTTTAGCCACTAGCTATGCATGACAAAACAAAGGGAGGGCACCTGTTTCCCGGCGTATGCATGTGTATCAGTGTGTTATACACATGTCTGCTGTTGTAAGACATTCTTTGGAAATAGCTGCAGAAATGAAGGAAAGTAACCAAAATGAAAGGGAAAATCTTAACTTAAGAGATTAACATTTAAACAATTTAATACGGACTCTGAAAACCTTATGTTAAAAGAAAGGAAAGCTCCAAATCAGGGAAAGAAATAAATTAACAAGGAACCCAACATATATTTGTAATATTATAACATGATATAGTAAAGGGCCAACAAGAAAACAATCCTTTTTATCACCTCCTCTGACAGGAAACCTTCAAATCTATGCATGCAGTGTGAGATCAAGTGGTTTCTTCCCCAGAACTGGTGTGTGCCTGTGTGTATATTTATCTATGTGTGTGCGTAAAGGGTTCAGCATTCACTTGTGATTTTCCGGGAAATGTAAATTCGAGTCATCAAACAGAGGGTTCTTCACTTCCATTTCTCCAGTCTGTCAAGGAGGGAAGAGAAAAATTGATATTTAGTCAATAAATCAGAAAGGATTGGTTTTGTGTGTAGTGTGGTGTGGTGAGTGGTTTTTGTGTGTGGTGTGTGTGTGTGTGTGTATGTGTATGTGTATGTGTATGTGTATGTGTGTGTGTGTGTCTACCTACCGGTGCAAGTCCAGGGCACTCGTATACTGTGAAGTCTCCTCCCACTTCTTCCTCATCTGATGTGACCTCGGTGTCAACGGTTTTCTGTTCAGGTTTGTTACTGCAAGACAGGGGGAAAACACAGTTAAGATAAAGAATAGCGGAAAAATATCAGAGGATGTGGTTGAACATTTGAAATCCGCATTAATACACGAGAGACATGAAAAAGAGGAAAGGAAGGAGGTGTCAGCGAGAGTGAAGAAAAAGACCAAAGAAACGTACTTTCCCATTGAGAGCATCTGCTGTTTTTGATGTTGGTAGTGATACATCTGAGCATTTTGGGCCAGATTCTTATCTCCCATCTGAGGAGACAACAGAAGGAGGAAGTTTGATAACAGAAGTTGCAGTGCACAATCATATCTGGCTATTATGCAGAAAAAGGAAGCGAGCTGTAACAATAGGTGAAGGAAGAGTCACTTACCGAGGAGCCGTTGGCTGGGGGGGCAGGCAAGCTCGTCCCTCCTCTGAAAGCCGGGTAGTCGACCTTCTGAGCCAGGTGCGATTCTTTCTGCAACCTGTGGGGGGCAACGTGAATCTGAGTCTCCTGTAATAATGATGGCCGTTTCCTGCCTCTGGCATGAAAACAACATCCTGTCATCTAAGCTCGCAGATCTTATCATACTTGAAGACCAAATTAAAGTGTGATTTTAGGTGTAAAAAAGGGTTATAAATAGGTATAAAACAAGAAGAGACATTGACTGAGAAACACACAAGTACATCCAAATTATAACTTGTCTACTAAATTGATTACCAAAAAATAAAGTTTGGTTTTGTGTTTTAAAACAAAAAGCATACATTAACGTCATGCTTTTTTAATAACTAATATTATGGGCCTAGTCTCAATTTGGATACCTCCGTTGGTACAATTGTTATGTAGTACACGGTGTACACCAGTGGTTCTCAACTGGGAACCAGAAGGAGACTTTAGGGAGTTCAAGGGAGCCCCTAGACAAATGAGGAATAGTACATGTTTACTATTACTTCACTATAGAAGTGAGGCAATGTGAGTCATAGGAGAGACTTCGGATCCTAGGTTTCACTTCCTTCACGATTATCTCCTCACCTGTAGTAGACATATACTGGATTTGTAATCTTATCTAAAAAACGTAATCTTTTTATATGGCGGCCCCTGCAGGAAAATCATAAAATGGTCGTTTGTAAACTAATGTTGTTAATTCAAGCGTCTTTGACATGAATAAGGTTGAACAACGTCATAGTGCACAATGTACTAACTTCATTTTGACAGGTTTGTGTTTTCTCAAATACAACAAGGATGTCCTACACTTACCAGAAATAGCAATTACACTATTTGCCCACTTCCTCTTTTTTAAATGGCAAACTGCAACCAGACAGAGCATTACTGCTAACATCTGACGGTAAATTTCCCCCACCAAAATATCTGTAGGTCTTTACAGATTACCATCCACCCCTATTATCGCGATGTTGCCATGTCGGCGACCATTGAAGGTGAAAACTTCAGGATACTCATGTTGCAATGCGATTGGCCATAATCCGTGTGAATGCACTAACTGTTTGAAATCCAAATACCGAGTGTAAGTGCAGAAGAATATGTATGTTCGTATGTATTTCATTCAGTGTAGAGGTTTTTTCAGACTTACTTGACGTAACAGACGGTTGCCAGGACCACTGCCACAGAGCCCACCGCCACACACAGCGAAATCATGACTGCAGGTTGATTAAAAAAATAAGAAAAACAGAACATGTTAAGGAGCAAATAATGAGTGTTTGAGTCAGATGAGACATTTTCTTATGGGTGCTATAGATCATTTTATCTCTATCTAATTTTCTCATTATGAGTTGTAATGAATTGAGATGCATCTTAAAAGCAATAAACACATTAGGATGAAAATGACTAACCCCTCTGTTGGGATAAAAGCCGAAAGGGATTCAATCTTGCTTCCAAATATCCATGCAGCATAATGACCCACATTTTAAGCTAATGGACTGCATTTCTACCCTTTTTTGTTTATTTTAATATACTGTAGCAGCAATGGATTATTTACCCACAGGCTTTCACTTTCTCAGAGCATTAAAGCCTTCTGAGGACATAAACAAATCATACTCACTGACTATAAACTTGTCATGTTTGGATGCTGGCACAGCGATAGGACCAGCTCGACCCGGTTCTCCGGAAACACGAGGCTGGTGGGTCGGGGGTTCAGGGAGAGCAGAAACTGTGGGGCGGGGGTCTGTACTGTTGTCATTCTGGCTTTTCAGTTTGGGTTTGGTGACACCTGGTTTGGTTATTTTATCATCTTTCTGGGAGGTGACGGCAGCTGGAAAGAGCGGGTACACAAAAAGAGACCGCGTTAAAACCAAAAGGCGTTGAGAGGAAACATGGGTGGGGTTAACTGTCAATCAGAGGACATGTGTGAACTTGGTAATATAATATTAGTAATATTGTTTTTTTTAAGATTGCTCTTACCAGGATGTTTGCTTGTGTGGTGTCTTTCTGTCTTGATCTCAGTCACTTCCTGTTTTTCGATGACTGAGTGAAGGAAATCGATCTCTTCATCGAGGTCGGGGTAGAATGCCACTTTACCTACCGAAAGGACAAGACATATTAAACATAAAATACTACATAAAAATAAATAGGCAATTATTTTACATGAATCAATGTATTTTTCTTCTAAGAGCATTGTATTCTATGTCTGGATCTGCCAGTGGGTCGTCACGGTTAACAATAGGCGTAATAATATACCTCCATTACAGGAGGGACTTATTGTTTCCTACAATTAGGTGTTAAAACATATATGTGAGTATATCTCTGTTCTGCAATTTTCTAAAATTAGATAAGAAAAATCTGCATAGTATAACGGATATCAGCAAAAATCAAAAATGGTGGATCCTCATTTCAGTATATTCTTCTATTCATTAACTTTCATTGATTTTGAATCATTGGTCTATAAAATCTAAGAAAACGTTGATATAGTATTAATTTAATGATCACATTAGACAAAGAACAGAAGCACAAGCTCACAGCTGATAAAACTGGAACAGGGGACTATTTGGCATCTTTACATTTAGTCGCAATTTCGCAATCTCAGTCTTCTTAATCAGCTCTTATATTCCTAGATGTTAGACCTCATGACCCATAACCTTGAGGTTGGGCATTCTTAATCCTGGAAAACATTATTCTTTCACAACTTATCAATGTTCATGACGAGTAATGTGTAACTATTGTGGTAAGAAAGGCAAAGACAGAGAGCTCATGCATATGGTTTAGGCGTGTATACATGTGTTTCTCAGCGTCTTGCCTCTGAAGCGATGAACAGGGAGTGTGCTCATGTGTGTTGTTTGTTTGTGGACGAGTAAAAAAGGAGACAATACTAAACTGTTGTTAACAGCCCCTCAGGCCAGACAGTGAGCCACATTCCTGCAGCCCTGCCGAGGCGTCCGGGGCGACCAGGGCCGAGAGTGTGTGTGTGGCCGGGGGAGGAAGCACCGCAGGGGGCCCAGCAATCAGCCAAACATTGGCCTCACTGGGCTTTAGTTGCTACATTCACAAAAGACCCCATAGCTCCCTGCTAATGGTGGTAATCAAAGTGCTATTTCCCTCTATAAAGTTACCCTGCAATATATCACATATCGAATCAAGGCCCGTGTCGTGGCTGATCTTAAACACATGCTGCTATGTGGAATAAAGGCATTTTAATACTGCACCAATGCTACAGTGTGCCATGGACTTCTTTTCTTTTTTTAAAGGACACTTGAATTCAGTTTTTGTGACATTATTTCACCTCTGTGATGAGCCCTTCATACTTTAATTACAGAGAAATTAAATTAAAGGTATTTTCACTCAAACCTGGAGAGAAGGGAAGTTATGTAAAAATAAGTTGTGGATAAAATAAGTTCAAACAAGGTTCTGCAGTTTGAGGAAATTTGACTTTTAAGTGAATTTAACAACTTAAAATCTAATTGTTATAGTAATGAATTCAAGGCCTTTGAATACTTTTGAAGGATTCTCGGGATACCGATGCAGAAAGATAAATGATCAGCGTTGTCACACATTGTTTTAAACCACCTACATTACATTAATGATTACAGTTTCACTTTTGCTCCAGAAGGCCGGCCATCTGGCTGAGCTAATGTGTATGATATGACATGCCAGCACTTTCACTGCCTGCTTTGTTATCAGCTTACCCCCCTCCACTAATGGTCATTTAGTGCACTCCATAGCAGGTGTCTGTGGAGGCAGGATGCACCATCTGTACTTTGCAGGTGGTTGGGAGCTCCAACCGTGCCAGTGGGCTCACCAGTGGCACGTGGCAATACAGCTTATTTTAGGGATTTAAAAAAAGAGTAGGTAAGATATGTAGAGGTCGGTCTCAAAAAAAAAATTGTGAATTGATTTTAAATCAGCAAGGACATGGTGAAAAAAGAATTACCATTATTTATTCATGTGGAAAACCCCAGGACCCCTAGCTAAGCAGTAGCTGATAAATCACCTAAAAAGGTGGTGATTGTGTGTGGTTTGTCACACACTGACAAAGCACGCACACCTCTTCTTGTGTAAGCGAGATTTGTCACCGGGTTGATAATGACCAATAACCTCTGGAGAGGCACCCAGGGGGCTGCTGGGTACAACAAACAAACACTAAACAGCTCAACAGGAATCGAGGTTCACACACATCTGTGCTGTTACTTTTCCCACTTAAAAAAATAGTCACATTTCTTCCTCCCCCAAAACACAAGCTTGCACACACACAAACACACAAACTCACATACACATTCTCTCCATGAGTTTCACAATACCTTGTCAATTTGTTTCAAACTTTTAGGAAATTTCAAAAAAATAGTAATGTCACCATACAATATATCCTAAAACTTAAAAACACCATTAAGTGACAGATGCAATATAAACCAGTCAAAACGATTATCTTTTTTCTTTTATATGATTAATGTTTTGTCAATCAAATAATGACTTAAATGCTACAAAAAATACTTATTTAACTCTTTGATGCAGCTGTAGATGTTAGAAGTGAAAGGACAGGGTGTAATGGCGCGTTTCCACTACAGCGCGGAGCACGGTTTAAGAGGGCTGTGACGTCAGCGGCCCGTTTTTGGTTGCGTTTCCACTTGGCCTAGTATCGGCCGGCGGGTCCTAATTCACAGTTTTTCTGGCCTCATAAAATCGTGGGTCTAGGGCCAGAGACAACGAGGCTGAGTCGGGCTGAGTATGCTAAACTAATCACAGTGCCTCTGCCTCAGTGAGCCGTGCTGTGAGAGATTATTGATTTGTACTCAGTGTGTCCTGCTGCCCTCTAGTGGTAAATGTAATACATGTACTACATAGCTGAAGAGACAAAAAGAGACTAGGCGTTGATGAAGAGACAAAAAGAGAGACTAAGCTGTTTATTCTCCTCCTCTCTAAAAGCACATAGTCTTGATAGTTGAAAAATATTTATATACATTTTTATAGAGTGTTTCATATTTGTATAGGAATTTAGCTTTATTTTATATCTTCATTTTTGTACTTATTTAAAAATGTCATTTTCTCTTACTGTTTTAAATGTACCTATACACCGAATCAAATTCTTTGTACATGTATTTATGTGTTTTGATTTATGTGTTTTGTCCACAGCGTTTGGATAAAAGGTCTAAAAAACGGATAAAGGGAAACAAAAAGGTCACAGATTAAACAGAAACTCTTATCTTCTTTATTAGTTGGTCTGTTTTTGGAATGAGGAAGAAGTGCATAGTTGCCACTTTATCTAACGTTGTTAAGGTTACAGCAGAGAGTCCCCCTCCCACCTGCCATAAAAAGTTAGTCACAGCTGACTGCAGAGCTTTGAGTAAATACAGTAAATGTGTTAACATTTTCTAACCTTCAGTAAACAGTTCCACAGGTATTTCATTCATTGTTCCAAAGAGGAACAGTGGTAAAATGGTGGGAGCGACATTAACAACCGTGAATCTGTATATAATCTGTAACTTTTAGATACAACAGTTGTAATATGAAATGCTGGTACCCTTCATTTAAACATGCAGCATGTCTTGCAGGCAATTCGTTTACTGAAAGTGTGTAATGTTTATTTAATATTTAGTAAGCTAAAACTGAAGTTTGGCCGTCCATTAGATTAGTGTTCTAACATCATGTTGACAAAGTAAATGCTGCAGGATACCTTCTCATGTTTCCACTCGTTAAACAACTAAAATTACTTTTTTTTGTATCTCGGTTCTCACCGTTTTTTTACCCCTCGATCACTTAATATAAAAATACATATACAACACGAATACAAAAAACGAGAACAAAAAGTCCAATTAAATTTGCCGCATGGAGTCAGCCATGCCTTTAGCACATACACTATTTAACTGCGTGTTAGGAATACATACCATTTACAGGCTATTTGTGCGGCTTCCAAACAAAGAACATGGCTTGGAGGTATAGGCTCCTGTGTGTTTACCAATGGCAGCACACGCCTCCATGTCAAACACAAGCAGGTCCTTCTTCCAATACAAAGTGCTGCACACCTCACCAGGGAGCACTTTCATCCTCTCTGAGCCGAGTATGTGAAATATTAGACATTTCTGAGTCCTGACAGAGATGATCAACACCGGAACAACCTTGACCAACAGGTGCAAGGCCGAGGAATAATAAAAGTTCATGACAGAAGTGCTGATATAACAATTTTAAATTCAAGATATGTGAATAGGGGCTTGCCATTTAGAGAAGAGGAATTTAGAGTGAAAAATGTTGCTTTACAGCACAAAAATAAACCCTGTCATCACTGACTATTTACTAAAGTAATGCTGTCGTATCTCTAAATATATAAATATAATTAAAAAAGCCAGTATTTATTTTATTCCTTTGAAGATAACTGCAGTTAATAAGCAACACTTGTTCATATTCTTGTGAATGTGCAAGTCTTTAATGTATGATAATTAAACTATATAAAATGTCAAATGGATAAAACATCTTACAATCTTGAAATAACACTTAATTTGACCACTTAACCTTTGTTTTTGGATGGTGGTTGATGCAGATCTACTAAGCACTTGCCTATTTTACAAGTACTGGCTGCTAAAATGTGCTAATTGTGTTCCCTGTTAGAAGGTTAAGCAGCCTTGCAGCAGTAGCTATAGTAACATAACACACTCCTCTCTACAGCCAGAGAATAGAGAGTTCTGGGTGAATGAAGATGACTGCAGTATCCTGGTTCAGCCTCTCTTCAGTCTGCTTTATTCTTAAGGACATACCGGTAGTTGCAATCTGCTGCAGACATTGAATTATGTCTTTCTTTCTGGCACACATTACATTTTAGCGTCTGATTTTGTCTAAAAAATGTATTTCTCTGTGATATTATTGTGATGATTCTGCAGGAAAAAATACATCTAACCTCTCTTGCAGAGCCAGCGATTCTGCTTGGTAATTTAATTGGAAGAACAATTTGATTCATTATCTGACGCAAACGGTGCTTGCTGACAAATCACAGGTTTAGTTACGAGTGCATAACTGTGTGAGTGAGCGAAAGAAAAGAAAACGAAGGACAATTATCTGACTTGTACCAGGGGAGCGGGGGAAATCGTGCGTCAGTTGTTTGGTCCTGAAAACACAGCCATTATATTTCCTCTGACGTCATAAAAGACTTACTTTAGAGGTGTAATTTATTTGTGTTGTGGAATGATGCCAGCTAGTGCAATCTTTATTGTGTTTTGCTGCATTCATATGTGACAAACCAATAAGTGGTGTATTTATCAGAGTGAAATGACAGTAACTTCATCTGTTCATTTATCCTGTGTGTGTGTGTGTGTGTGTGTGTGTGTGTGTGTGTGTGTGAAAAAGAGACAGAGTTGATATGTTGTTCGGGTCACTGGGTTCTGTGGTGTGTCAGGGGTTTATGTAACTGCGGGGGGGCTTATCTGAGGCGTCCTATGATGTGCTGGATTCACATCACCACACAAACAACAGCATCACACATACGATTCAAAGTCCTAATACTAACAGCTGATTTCATCATCATACGAGTGGGCTCCAGTAAAAAGAAGCATCCTCTCTTCTTCATGATAGACTTTTCTCTCCGATACACACTCATCCCCTTCTCGTGTTTGCTTGATTCTGCCGCCAATCATTTGAGCCAAGTTCGTATCCTCCCCTGCCGCAGACCCATCTAAATTATTAATCCTGCAGACACACATGCCCACTTCCCACTGATAGACACACACATTTGTGCACAGGCAAGCATGTGCTCTCAAATAAACACGAGACGCTTCAGTTTCTCTTGGATTTCTGCAGCGTGGTCTGTGTTTGCAAGCAGTGCGATTCCATGGAAATCGGAAAAACAAGATTGACTTTCATTGAATTACATTAGATTCAGTGATGGAGGCGAGAGAGAGAGAGAGAGAGAGAGAGAGAGAGATGGGGAGAGAGAGAGAGATGGGGAGAGAGAGATGGAGAGAGAGGAGAGAGAGGGAGAGAGAGTGAGAAGAGAGAGAGAGAGAGAGAGGCATGTCGTCTAAGTGATTAAAGCCGTCAGTGCGGGGGCTGGGCATGTGTCGCAGACGCAGCAGGGGCAGGACGGATTTAATAACAGAGGATCAGACTGCACCAAATCTACCACAATGTAGTGAGAAGAGAACGGGACAAAAAAAGAGTGAATTGGAGGAGATACACAAGATACTGAGAGGGAGGAGGAATAAAGACATCAAACTAAGATTGAAGGGAGGAGAAGCAAAGCAGAGAATCAATAGTAACAGAGAAAGAGGTGGAGAGGCAGGGAGATGTGGGCAACAGGATACAAAGATCAACTGGAAATAAAACAGACAGAACACAGAATGAAAGTGGAGTGAACCAGAGAAATACTGGCTTTCTAAAGAGGACATATTATGCTCTTTTTGAGGTTCATATTTGTATTGTGAGCCTCTACTGTGACATGTTTACATGCTTTAATGTTCAAAAAGCTCCTTATTTCCCTCAGACTGCCTGTGCTGCAGCACCTCTTTTCACCCTCTGTCTGAAACCAGAGCCGAGTCTGCTCTGATTGGTTAGCTGGTCAGCTCTGTTGTGTTTGGTCAACCGCTAAGAGATATCCTGCCCCTTAGCCAATTACTTACAATGTGTGGGAACGCGAGCCAATAGAAGCGTGAGTGTTACATAGTGATTTCACTATGTAACTGCAGTAAACAAAGGAGTCCCATTTGAGGTGATTCTGGTGGATTTTAGTCTTTGCAGACCATTTACATGCACCAAAATCTATATAAACACACTACAGGAAAGGGGAAACACAAGAACGCAAAATAGGGCCCCTTTAAAACCCAACAGGTTATCTTAGTACAATTGAGGTTGAAGATTTGAATGTGCTTCTCAGATCAGATTCCACATGAAATATATTGACATTTCATTTTCATGGAAAATTTATGTTTTGGCTGTTTTCTTGACTATTGTCTTTTTCGTTGTCTGTTAATCTTATTGTTTGTAAGGTGACCATTTGTCTGGGTCTGGAATTTATATTATGTAACATTTCTGCTAGGTAACATTGAGTGTGTAACCTTTATGTCTCATGAAATATTGCTGATGAAATCATAGCTGCGGCCTCTGTGAAGTGAAAATGGGAAATGTTTATATATTCCTTACCCTGCTTATGGTGCCTCTTCTTCACCTCGCAGCTTCCCTCCTCGTTCTCCTCCAATGGAGCGAGGCAGGGGCCACATCGGGAGGAGCCCGGCCTGCAGAAATGGCGTCCGTCTTTGGCACAGTCTAAATGGCGAGGGCATTTACTGCTAACTGAGAGAGAAGGAGAGAGAACAACAGTGTATTAGTATCCCGACTGTGATGCAGAAATTATGCTTTTAATGAGGCAGTTAAATAGCAGTCTATATGCGAAACAGAGTACTATTAAAATGCTCTCAATAGGAGATGCTTCAACTTCATTACACACACTCCTTTCATGAGTGGATGTGTCAGCTCTTCTGCTCCATTCACAGATGAGACATCTGCCCTCGAACTGAGCGTCTGCTGACGTCAGAAAAACGTCATGGAGTTTCTGAAAATACTATTATTATTATTATTGTTCGTTGTGACTTCATCACAGCTTACTAACGGTCGAGGTTACCCAGATAGGACACGGATGTTAGGCGAGTCAGAAACACTCATTATGATTTTTTTTCTGCATATGTGATGATCCCCACCTGTTTGCCAATATTAAAAAAACGTAAAGAGTGATAGACAGCTGCTCTCATACAGATCTGCCCGTAATCAGGTTAGATAATCACTCGGCCTGATTACTGCCTGTCTGAAACAAAAACAGTGCTCGAACACACACACAATGGGATACACACACTGGAAGAAGTGGGTTGCAGAACCACAGCAGGTGTGTTTCTCAGCAGAGGGCAGGTGGAGCAGCGGGGAGCTATCGGAGCGGATAATGAGCGCGGCAGTTCTGCACAGCGGGCAGGCTAAAGGTGAACGGCACAGCGGGGGGGGGGTGATACTGACATAACAGACACACATGATATAAGGGCGGTGAGAGGAGATGGACCTGGTGTTTGTGAGGGTCGCAAAATGTCAAGGTTGTTCAAGTCAATAGGTGTTATAAAAAAACCTGTTTGTAAAAAAAACGGTTTGAGATAGTCACACATTTGCGGTAGTGAGACAGAGCCTTTTTTCACAATATATAATGACCTCGCTAAAGGGGAAGGTAAGGTTTTTTGCCTCGGTCTGTCCGACTACGGAAAATCTACTGACCTATTTTTTTATACCTAACTATGCTTTACTTTCATAAACATTGGAAGCATTTTTGCTGCTTTCTTGTAGTGTAGTGTGTCTGTCTCACATGAACGTCCATTTTGTTTCCATTTTATGATTTGAAACTCATCAACACACCAAAATTTAGAGAAAAGACTTACCAACTCTGAGGTATAATCATTTAGGTATTCAAGTTATCGTCTGAAATGAGCCTACTTTTCATAACACTTCATGTGTTTATTAAAACCTCTGCCATGTGGCTTTGATGAATAAGAACTTAGTACGGTGAGATGACATACAAATATTGAAGACCCTCTTTGTTTTTACTGTTTTGCAACAGACTCTTTCCTCAATAATATTGTTTCAATTGCTTCATAACAGAGGAGAATTATAAATGACAAAAGATCGCTGAGGGGGGAATCTGAAAGACCTCCATGGCAACAAAGCCTGTGACATCAGAGGCCTGTACTACGAAGCTGGTTCAACCTAACCTGGATATGTTTGAGTTAGCCGGTTGGCCCAATCCAAAACATACGCGCTGGCGCTAAATTGTACTACGACGCTGGTTATCAAGTGGATCGCTCAAGCCGCCGTGTCCTATCTAGTTAGGTGCGCGTTCACATGAAAGGGGTGGTATTTGGAGCATTCGACCAATCTCAAACACGGACAAGCGTACTGACAGCGCAGCGTCATACTTCCTGAATGAAAAGTGAACTTTAATATTAGTCAAATATGAAGAAGTTAAACTTTAAACATCCATGACTTAAACACTTTATCCAGGATAAAAGCCACATAGCTGCACCTGCAAGGTGAATACAGCTGGTAAAAGAAAAAGCGTTTGAATGCGTACATTAACAGGTTTATGAAATCACTGCCCCGTCCAAGACACGAGTGGATCTGACTTTAATTAGGAGAATTTGACTCGAGTGTTTCGTCAACTTAATGTGTTGCTTAAAATAATACTTCTGCATACAGTATGTGACACTGTGAGTGTTGCACGGCCAGATACGGCTCAAGAAGCTGACTCAAATAAGGAAATATATGATACATTATGATGTGATATGATATGAATGATAATGGGACACATCGACGTCTGCACTCACAGTGCCGCGGACTGTACTTAATGTTACTCTGATCCGGTTACTTATGTCGTGGCAGATATTTAAGTAAGCTTTCTTAACGCTAATGTTATAATAGTCAGATTGCTCTGAAGATGGGAGGGGATATTCTATTAATTTTCACGTTCACACAGTCAGTTGATTTTGGCCGGCCGTCTTTCCTGCAACGGCAGTTTTTCTGTATTTCCTCTATCCTGTAATATGAATTGATCGCTTTAAACTCCGCACACGGAGCTCTGATTGGTCAGCAGGCGGTGCTTTCACTGAGTTGATCTCTTAGCCTGCCACCTAACCTGCTCCGGAGCAGGTTTGCCGCTCAGCATAAGTTACCATGGAAATCTAGCTTGCTAAAAAGAGAACCAGCGTCATAGGACCGGAAAGCCCGAGATTTCCCTGAAGTCAGCCGGCTAAGCGAAAACCCAGCTTCGTAGTACAGGCCTCAGGACAGCTGTATTGAAGGAGCACATATGCAGATGGGGAGTGTTTCAGAGATGAAGAGCAGATAGGGAAGACCGGCAATAGCATTCAGTATTTTTATCCAAAATAAAAGATGAAAACGAGTTTGTTTAAATTGCTTCTTCTTGCACATACCCTACTACTTCTGTCGCTGTGTCTGACTCGTCATATGGGATGCTACACTATCTTTATCATTTAAGCATTTTGATTTGATTTTGCATGTCATAGTCCATTTTTGACACAGTCATTCTAAGATAAACCAATATATTTCCTTGTATAGGTTACTGAAAAACATATAACTGAATTATTCTGAACCTCCACGTCATCAAATCTGACAAAAGTCCCTTAAACCCATTTTTGAACTGAAATTCTATAATAAAAAGAAATAGGAAAGAAAAGTAAGAAATATGAAGGAAATTCTCCATCTTTCAACAACATACCAAAAGGTTGGAAACACCACAAAGAGTAAAACAAAGACATGCCTACACATCTCTACAGCATCGCATCAGAGAGGTGGAAACACGTCTTCTCAGATCACTGATGCTCTGCCTCAGGGAGGGAGCGGTAGAGTGACGCATGTGTAATCTGAGACGCTTTGTTTGTTGTTCACGTCGAAGACACAGGAAGAGCCGTAGTATGGGGATGTTTGTGATACATCTGTAGCTAAGGGTTTGTTCAAGGTTGTATTTATGGATAGAAAACTTTGCAGATATTGCCACAAAACCAACCTGCAGGTAGACGACTCCCAGAGAGTCTTTAATCGCTGGTTTTATTTGGAGTCACGCTCTGTCTTCCCACGGCTTGGCAACACCGCTGTCACTGCGACGTTTAATTGCTGCCACATCCCTGTCAGTGCGACCTGCTCACGTGGCGAGCCCCCTCATTCCTGATTTCATCAAAGATTGTTCACCCTCTTAATTGTTTTCTCTCCTCTCCCTCCCTTGATCGTCATGGCTTCTATTTTTAAATGCCACGAGGCCTCTCTTTTAATTTCCCTGCAGGTATTGTCTGATCTTTTCACATGTTTATATTGACTTCTTTCAACCCCCATGACCCTCAGAAAGAAAGACAAAATGTCACTGGGAATAGAATAGTGAGTGGAATGGTATTAAGGGTTGGGATTTAACATAGCATGGGTTAGGGTTAGGGTTAAGTGTATGCAAGACTTCATGAAAGAAATCCCAGATTCACTCACATCCAAAATATGATGTCTCCAGGTTTGGCCTTTTATTCTTCTGTAAGCTCCTGTATTCTGTCCGTTATTTCTTTAATACTGCCCAAATGGTTGGGGTCAGCAAAGACATTTATCAGACATCTCTGTTCCGAACTATTTACTCCATACCAAGCCAAGGTTTAGGACACTGGATGTCAAACCTCCTTTCATCGACATCCAACCTCACTCATGAGTCATGTCGTCAAATCATTCCGACGTCAATTTTCTTTTCTTTTTACGACTATTGGATCTGCTATTTGAGGATCAAGGGTTGGCCATAGATCAGGTACAGATGACTGGATTCATGTCACAGATCAGATATGTTGCTGCACATGTGGCGCCTCACAAAGAAGTCAACAGTGGAAACATTGACTTAAAGCACCGTTAGGGTGCGGACGAAAGGTCAAAACAAGTAGTCAAAACGACCCGTGTAGGTGTGGACTAAGCCTTAGAATTAATATGTTTAAATTGGGGTATACGTGTGCCTTTGATTAGGAAATAAATGTTGACTTATTTTGTTTTCATACTTATGTTATTCAGTATTCAAGATATTACAAGTGCAACGTTTAAAGTGCAGACTGGCCTTGGCAGGGTGAGAAGTTCTATGCAAAGAAGCACAGATATTAATGTATTACTCTCTGCATTATGAGGTGATTTCATTTTCAAAGTTAAAGCAACATAAACATATGCCTGAATAAAACGAGAGCATATTGAGATATGTCTGCAATAATGTAGAAATAAACCATTGCCAGAGACTGAATCATGTGCTGTGTTTGCCCGGAGCCCACGTTCACAAAAAGACCATTTGCAAATCCTGGCCCATAAATGAATCACTGTTGTCTATGAAGAAAGGGGAAGAGGCATTACATCCCTAAAGCCAGAAATCAATGTCCTTTCAAAAAATCTTTATTATTTAAAGCTAGCATCTTCTCACCTCTGGTATGCATCACATTGGAAGTTAATATGGTGGAACCTACTGCAGTAACATGAATGCACATTATTATTTTCCTCACACACACACACCCATACACAAACGGGCTGTTTGTGTGTTTCATTATGATTGCGTGGCATGGCAACGGTGAGAAAAAGAGTGTGAGAGAAGGCGAAGCGAGTGTGAAAACTGGAAAGCTCCAACAGCTGCCTGAAAACCTTCTTCTTCTTCCACCAGTAAATGTAATCATTATTATTAATTTACCAAACTCAGATACATAATGGCCCTTTATTCCAAACGCAGCAGAATCCTTGAAGATGCT